TCTTCATCAAAGTTTACTTTATCGACAGAAAGCTAATCGCCACTTCTGAGTGTCATTTTGACGATAATTTAAATTTTATGCAAAACTGCTTCAGCAGGCGAAGAAAAAAAGATTATATTTTTGTCATATTACCGTCTACAAAGCTACCACTTTACCTTTAAAAGCAATGAGAAGTTCCTCTTTTAAGACTTGTTTTCAACAGCTAAAGAGAACAGTAAAGGCTGTGCTTTCTGATCATTTTTCTATCCCTCGCAGTATTTAAACCTAAACTGCCGAAACCTAAGATTTTCTAAGATATAAACCCATATCACCCGCATTAATTTCCTTTCGCCCCATCAAGGATCAGAATATAATTCTTTCGTCTCGAATTTAAACAAAAGAAATTGCTGGATATTTTGTCCCCGGGCGTTCATAAAAGATCACATCAGCAAGTTGTAAATCATTTTAATTAAAAGGACACCGTTTAGCGGAAACAAATTGTAAATGTTACTGAATTCTTTCTTTCGCATTTAATTTGATTTTGCTGTTTTGATGTTATTTGTTACCCTTCACAGTTGATGTATTAAACAAAAGAGAAAACGATCGCATCTTTACAATTTTGTTCTCCGCGCACAGCTTGAAACATATCATTTATTACTTTTAATGATTGTTGCATTGATATTGCCTTTTTAATGACTTTCCTAATATGGAACGAATGCTATGACAGGGAATATTATTTGCTCGGCCCTTAGCTCCATTATACTGCTTCAATTTAACAGCCTTACCTTCAGATCACGATTTCAGATTTTTTTTCCAAAAAGTTACTATTTTGAGTTGAAAAAGAATATTTTGTTTTGATCGTTTTCAAAAGTTTTTTCTCTGTTTCCATAAAATCATTATAACATTTATTTTCCAGTTTCCTGTTTCTATGTAGTAATGATTACGCTTTTCATAAAAAAGCACGCTCCTCGACTTGCAACCTGGTCTACTTTTTTCGGTTAAATGCCCCATAAACTCTGAAGAAAATTAGGCATGGTTCAAAGGATATATATTTTCTCTAAAAAACGGTGACAGGTCTATCATTTTAGGCTTCGACAACAACAATGTAAAATTTTGGTAGAATTCGAAACATCCCAATGTTGTCATTTTGATATTTATGCTATGAGTACAAAACGTTATGCATGAACAGTGCGTGGACTTTCTCCTCTCCTTAGCTGTCACTAGAAATCTTACTGTTCTTATGAAACATGTGGTCAAGATCCTATATTGATTTCCCTTCATATAAAACATCTTCGGGAGAATTTTTGCATTTTTCCAGTATTCATTTCTTTGAATGTTTGCCGGCGATTTTTTTTTTCATCGCTCACTATTTGGAGCGGCTACAGGGATGACGAAACGATGAAAACCTTTTTTTGAATGCTGGCTTCTATAAAATCATTCTGTTTTCAGAAATAATATCGAATTCATTAAAAGAAAATAAGTCACTCAACTTTTTAAACAATAACAGGAATGAAAGCAACGGAAGTCAATCTAAACTGAGAATAAGTAAGATTTGATTTCATGAATGTTTACAATCAAAGGATTATGTTTGTTACTTATGGAAAGTTAGAAAAAAAGCCAAGTTCTTATTGTTCTACATTGAGACCAATTTCGGACTAAAGTTACCATATATAAGTTACTATAATATACCTTTTAAATACTTTCTGTTTAATTAATACGGGGTTTGGTTTTATTCAGGGTTTCTTAACTTTCGTTAGTAGTAAAAATTTTTGACTGGCCTTTTCTTCCGTGTATATCATAACAGAATGCCACTGAACTGCGCAAACTGATTGGAATCAGGATAATTCATCCCAGCAGTGACACAAAAAAACGCAAACCTTTTACATTTTCCAGATCACTTTTCGTGATATGTTTAGGCAAAACGATTTAAAGTTTGCTAATGAAATATTTTGTCACTATGTAAATATAAGATATATTAAATACTAGAATAAATTGACTAAAATTAGTACAAGGATCTTATGCATATATATACCGTACCTGTATACAATTATTTGAAATCTCTCAATTAAGCTCAGTTGTTTCAGAGCTTGAACAAGCCGGTCCGCGGCCGACACTTTTTCGGAGACCTTGGAGCTGTATTTTCTGAGACTTGACTTAATGTCCTCAGGGCAGAATTATTTTATCGTTTACGTGTTAAAATCATATTTTATGATTAGGCAAGCAAAATGTCAAGGTTAAAACACAAATTAGTTTGCGTTTCTAATGAAAAATTGCTTTTTACACATTAAGTGTCAATGTTTCTGGAACCGTGTAAGTGCTAATTAAGGCCACTGTTTTTCAGTTCACGTACGTCTCCCAATGGAGATGGTACCGCCATTTTTACGTTTTCATCCGAACCACGCGGATGTCTAGCCGCTTACCGGAATAAAGGCAGTAAGGGCCTGTTTACATGGAGGTGGGAGACCACAGGTAGGTGAGGTAACATTTGGCGGGTTACCCCACCTATCATGTAAACGTGATCAAATGAAAATGGGAGATTATATGGACATGCGGGTTACCCCACCTAAGCTGGTTACCTCACCTACCTGGGGTCCCCCACCTCCATGTTAACAGGCCCTAAGTAGGTTAAGCATTACGTTTACGTCGAACAGCAAACGCGAATTTGTACCACGTGACCAACTTTCCCCTTTACTTGTTGTTTACTGTTCATTATTTCTATTCAGAAAGGTACGGAAAAACTCGAGGTAACAAAAAACGTGCAACTTGCCTTGCAACATTGCTGCAAAACGTGTTGCATAGCGATATTGCGCGTTTTACCACCCACATAAAACCTGTCTTGCAACAAACTTGTTAACGGGTTTGATCGTGGGTGGTAAAACGCGCAATATCGCTATTCAACTCGTTTTGCAGCGATGTTGCAAGACAAGTTGCACGTTTTTTGTTGCCCATTTTTCCGTACCTTTGGTTCTCTAAATCCTGGCCCTATTTCAGACCAAAAGATTGTCATTTTCCACACTCTTTTTCGGAACTGGCCTCTTAAATCAATACCCGTTTCCAGACCTGGCGTAGGCAGAAATTATTTTATCATTACTTAGATTAGAACGCCAACAAAAAGATTTCTTAAAGTCCATTTCGAATTTGCATATTACTCTTTCTTTCTTATTCATTTGGAATTGAAGCGAAAAATACGTTCATGAACTACCGTGTTCCTTCCAAAACCGCCAACGGGGCAGCACATACGTATAAGGCAAATGTAAGGGAGGACCCCCCAGGCTTTTTATGTCAACGTGAAATTACAACGCTCTCCTGTAGAGTATGAACACCTGTCCACACTGTGGCACAGAAACCTATCCGATATGCATGTGACGATCCACTTTTAAGATGGACGCGACGCTGCTTCGCAGAAACCGCGTAAAAATCACTGTTCTTATGCCATGAACAGAAACCCTATCTAGCATGGTTATAGTGCCGGCCGCAAAGAGTTTTTCAGTTATGGTGTAAAAATCGCCTCCGACGATCTCACTTTCACATGCAAGACTTCCCTTAATTTTTTTCCTAATAAAAGACATCTACCTACCTATTTTAAGTTAAATTGACCGCGACAAAAAAAGTAATGAACGGCTATCATAAACTAAAACTCAAAGTTAAACTATCATGATCATAAACAAAATTATCATAAACACAGCTTTTCACTTGGGGAGACACTGTACCAAATCATCGAATCAGATTAGTTTAATTCTTGTTTTTTTTTTTTTCATTAGGATGTTCCCTTGTAAATGATTTAGCAATGCCAGTTTAGATGGCAGCCAAAGTTTATATTGCATGATACAACTTTAACTTTGGCCGCCATTTAGCTAAGATTGGCTTTCTAACAGGCTGAGACAGAGTTGTGTAAATTTTATACAGACCGTTTAATATACGACTGTTCCACATACCTTTGAAGACTACCCAAAAAGTCAATTGGTGCTTTTTGCGAGTGGTTACCGACCTCTTCACCTTTCTTGGCGGTCCTTGTAAATATTGAAAATTACGGCTTGACAAGATTGAGCAAATAAAATAATCAGACCTAGCTATTACTAAAACAAAAACTAACAATTAAAGGTGATGAATGAAAGGCTCATCAGCTGGCGACAAAACAGTTTTATTCATTTTTAAGACAAGAAAGTTAATTAACGAATGGCTTCGTTTTGTCAGGTCTTTTGTTGATGGTAACGCACATTAGTCTAAATCAATCATAGAAACTTTTTTATCAGCACTCAAAGAAGTTTTGAATGCATTAAGAACAATTACACTATGGACAGCCATAAATGCAACAAAAGATAGGTTTACGAGGTCCATGCTTCCGAAATCCAAGAATTCAAGACACGGTCTTTGCCTAATCCTAAGCCAACAAAAGCGGAACATAAACAGCAACAACCAAAAAATCTCAGGAAGAAAAATACTATTCTAAAGTTTGCTTAAATTTATTCTGGCCACTAAGACAAATTAAAGTGCATCGTATGATAATCATCAAACTGAAGAAAACTGAATATACTGAAAGTTTGCTTTATAAATTTATTCTGGTCACTAAGACAAAAGTGCATCGTATGAAAATCATCAAACTGGCAAACGTTCCATAGATAATAACTCGGCAGGTTAAAACATCTCAGTCTCAATCCAGTTTGGCTTAAATAGCCATGTGGGAGTCATTTCGCCGGGTTTTGCCTACAGTCTATGGTCGTTACACATTTATAAGCTCGTTAATGATGTTGGTGAGCTCTGTTTTGCTGGGATACAAAATAATGACAAACCCATTATGGGATGAATTTGGTCAGTTTATTCAATTAAACCATACAATGTATAAAGTCAGGAAAATACAGATACACAAGAACATTAACCCAGCAAAGGTGAGGGCACATTCGCCAGAGGCAGGAGCGAGGAAAAAATGACAGGTCATGCGGGAGTGTAGTCTGCTACACAGCCGTTTTTAGTGTCGTCACGCAACGCTCCACCCCACTAAGTGGCTGTGTAGCAGACTAGCGGGAGTGGTGCAGATAAGCAAAAGGTGAGGGCATAATCGCCATAACCCGGAGCAAGGAACGAGTGACAGGGCAGCCCACACCCCCTTTATTGGAGTTATGCCGTAATGGCGTTAACTACAACATAACAGCCAATCAGCTAAGAGAGCAGACTACAGTTTAATTAACGTAACTTTAATTTCAGTTTCTATACAAAATTCATTGAAAAACTACAGCTCCTCCTAACAGTTAAGAAAAACCTCCTGTACATAAACTATGTCTTGTTATGAGAAATTGTCTCCAAACAGCTCGTAACGGCTGCAAAGAGTTAAAATGGACTTTATTATCAGACATTCAACACCATCAAGACAGTCAACGTAGACTATTGACAGTCCCCTATTTTCTCGCTAGCTCGCAGGATCGAGCGCTCACCGGTACAGACGGCCATCTTGGTTTTCCATGTACCGAGTGGGTGGGGGTCGGGTTTTATAGCGGTGGGGGGAGCAAGGAGAAAATATCTTTCTCGCTTCCTCCCAAACAGTACCCGTCCCCTAAGTAGATTTGACACTCATCCAAGATGGCCGCCCGAAACGCCAAATTTCGACAGGGGACAGTGAGCAATCTATATTCAACGATTTCATTGCCATAATTAACCTCCACCTTCACTATAACTACATTTTGGTTAAGCCTCAAAATATTGCATTATAATGGGCAGTTATCATCATTATAAACTAGGCAACTAGGCCTCCCAATTACGTTTCCACAAGTGTTTTACTCCCAAAATATTTTTATTTCAGTTGTGTGGTCGTTTATGAAAACGGAAGTCGTTTATAAATGTTTCCTTTGCGAGACATGTTCGGCCGATCCTTTGGGGCTCACATTTGCGGCGAGATTATTGAACGCTAAACGGTCCAACTAGACCACATTAAATCCTCTACCTTTATAGTTATTTTGCTTAAATATAAATCGCTACAAACCTTTTAACGTGTTTAAATAAATATATAATTCCTGATAATTCATTGAAACCCCACTCAAAACTCTACTTATTTCAGAGCAGCGGTACACAAAGATGATCAATTCTCCCACGGGAAATATTTTTATTCGGTTCTATTTCATTCACCATGCGAGCAGAGCTTCCTTGAGGCCTTTGACGTCACCGCAGTCCAAACTTCTGGACCAGTCAATCTCGTTTCCTCTCGTCAAACCAGTTTTTTCGAGAGCGAGCATCCTTTTAATGATAACCCGATAGTCATAACTGAGCCCGCTGTGCCAATCGTACGGCTATAAGGCCTGGGTTTGATCTTACTCGATTCAGGTAGTTTTTCTCGAATACGCCAAAATTGAGGAAGCGAAAGAAAAGCTCTGCTGGCAGGATGTGTTTCATTTAGCTTGCAGTAAAAATGTTCTATTTATGTCAAAATGTTTACTAACAAGTCGTAACACCCCGGTCAGGATCTTTTATGACGAAACATCTCTACAAACAAACCGCTAGCCTTCGAGTGGCCAAAAATAACTTCATGACTCTTCCATTCACTAAATGATGACATACGTCAATAAAAATATTCTTAAATTATCAGACGTTAGTGGTACCCTTCCGAAGGGAAACAATGTTGTTTACTTCACAACCTCAGATTTACTCGTTATGCATCACAACTGGTTTGAACTTGACTATTAGTTTTCGAACAAACCGAAAAATTTTTAACATCTATTTCTCAACGTCTAATACTGTTAAAATATGTTTATCCCCAGCTTGAGAAAACAACGCCACTACTGGTTTCCCTGCAAAATGAAGTCTAAGAACCGAGCTCCTCATTGTCGTGCTGCGAGGGAAATTTGCTTCGACCAATCAGAAGCACTGCCTAGATCCGGGTAGTGACATGCCATCAGTATGGAATTTCTGTGCACGTTCCTCACACGTCATTTCGCGGGAAACCAATGGTAGCGTGGAGAAATGTCGGCTGTTTGTCATGTTTATTTATCCCGTGATAATAAAAAATTTAAATTTACATGTGCAACCAATAATATTTCACTACCCAGTTCACCCAAGTAGCTGAACCCAGACTCGTGGCTCCTTATATTGTCTTCTACCTCCCCGTTTAATCTAGAAAAGAACGGATAAGGTCCCTTCGGTAGACCATCATACATAACAGGTTTACTTTGGTTCGGTTTGGTTACCAATTCTTACACTCGTCTCTACCATTTTAAAGGCGGTATACTTCAGTGTTTTCAGAGGTGTCGGCAAAACCTTAGGGCCCGTTTCTCGAAAAGCCCGGTAACTTTTTGGGCCAGGAATTAAATATTCAAATCAAAATCTTACGATTAAAAGTAGTCCATTTTGGTTTCTTGATTATTATCTGCAGCTTATCGGGCGCAGTGTAGCTCATAATACATTCATCTCTCCCTGTTACTCATCGTCCCTTGCCTCGATGAGCATCGTCCCTTAAGCAGCCTTTTTGAGCGACGCAAGGTATTTTCCTCTTAAATATTGATGATATAAAATTTGTTGACGCCTTTACTATTTGCATTTGACTGAAAATTTGATGCACCGTCAAAAAATCGGTTGATCGTTCGATTTTTGTAGGATTTACCAGATCTGTTGATGTTGCAAATTTATCTTCGAAATACCAGATCTCAAGTAAATTTAAATCGCCCAACCGAACCAGGCTGCTTCCTGAAAAATATCTCAAAAAATAGGCTGACCTCTCGTAAGACATTTCTTCGACCTCAGGTTGTCAATTGTAGAAAGTTTTGAAGCCCAATGCTCTACTCACATCACAAAACCGTATCTATTTAAAACAGAATGTTTGACCTCCTTTTCCATTCATTCTTTCGCCGATTATCCCTCGTTTGTTGTCGCATAGCATGGGGGCTTCTTGAGGGGCTATTGCTACGCCCACTGTTTTTCGGAGCAAGTGACGGGGCTTCTTTTTTCACTGAGTCGATGGGAAAACACTTTTCTGGCTTTACAAATGAACCATATCTCGGTTTGCAGGCGAAATATCGTTGCCCGTCCACGGATCCATCATTTTTTCCTGGTTTGAAGAAGAAAAATGTATAAATTAGTGACACCAAATTGCAACAACGACTTACGCAAAATACGTTCGCTTTTTCGAAGTTTCGTTTTATCGAGGTTCTGATAAATATATTTCGCTATTACTGGAGCAAGGAATACCGTTCGTTATATCAAGGACTTCGTTATATAGAGGTTCGTGGTATCGAGTTTTCACTGTATCATGCCTTATACACGAAACAGGAGGCCGGAGCCTCAAAATCTGGTTTTGTTTTCAACGTCTCTGGGACACTGAAAATGATTTTGGTTAGAAGACCTCTTATCCGATTAAAATGCCGAAAGTTAAATAATGACCTTAAAATACACCTTTTCTACCTATAGGTACGGGTAGGTGAACATGTTTCTCACGTAGTAATATAAAAGGCAACTAAGACCTCCCAAATGTGATTAAGACATCACAGTTCTATCTGGCTGCCTAGCCGTTTCTCCTGAAAAGAGGCGGCTGCTTAAGCAAAGACGTTTTTAAGCGACGCACGTCAATCGGAAGTCAGGGCTTTTCCTCGGCTTTGACCGTACCTGGGTTAGGGTTAGGGAACGGCGGGTGTATCTTCAGGTCCCTAATTTATTCGGCTCAGCATTTAAAGCATGTTTTCCTGTGAACAACTTCCATAGTCAGCGCATAGTTTATAAAACTTAAACACGGTCCGTGTTGGGTACATACTGACAAGTGGCTGGATCTCCAAAGTTCTTGCTTCTGTGTTTGTTCCTTTTTCTGGTACACAGTTTTTATATCACGGGTTTACACTTATCTTGACTAGTAAAACAATGCTACGTCTATAGAATCCTACACTACCAGTATTACCTAATCCCCTCATGACATGAGGGTGTCTCGGTGATTTCGTCAAATCGCTCGATAACCTTCCCTAAAGAGCAAACGCGTTTTCTCGCGCGATTAAGTAAGACTACGCTCGTAAGATTAAACTGCTAATTGCATAATACAAACTCTCGTACCTGAGGGTGTATCAAGCTCAACTCCAATCCATACCCCGGGGGCAAACTCTGTCGGTCCGATATATCTGATCCTTCCCGTCTTCTTATCCCCAATACAAATCACTTGTCCCATTTTTAAATCTCCTAGACTATCAAGCGAGGTGAATTTGAAGTCGTCCGAATCGCACGAAGAACCTAACAGATCCTCCTTAGAACTTCGTTTTTGTTCGTTTTTTGGCACAGCAATTCCTGGTTTTTCCTCTGTCGGTTCTATAAGCAGCGACGAAGACTCGTCCTCTTCTTCATCTTCATCCCCATCTAACAAATCTTTTAATCCAAGCAGATTCAGCTGCTTGCTGACTTTCTCATTGTCCGTACCAGCAAAACTTAAATCAATAAGCTTCTCCTTCTCAACTGATTTCACTTCTTTTGAATCCGATTGAGGAGTTGAGATATTTTCGCCTGACGGCGTGGGAGTCAAGGGATCTTCGAACGTCAACGTATCAGCACTAACCGAACGCTCTCGAAGATCGTCCGAAACAGGGCTGTCCGTTCCGTCGGCAGTCGACTCCTGCTTTGAGGATTCCTCAAAGTCGAACAAAGCTGCAGGGTTTTTCTTGACTTGAGGACTCGGCGCAGGAGTTTCGTCTTCTTCGAGAGGTTCAAGATCTATCAGGAGCGAATTGGGACGCGAGTTGGGACGTGAGTTTGATCTTTCGCCTGAATTTCGCATCACTACACCGGACGAGTTTTGAGGAGACGAGACAAACTGTTGACTGAGTTGCGCGAGATCATTTAGCACTTCTTCTTTGGTTGGCCTTGTCGGTCGTGGATCCGTGAAACTCCCAGGAAGAAGGAAATCACTCCGGTTATTACTCTGGGGAGATAAAAAGATACATAAGTCACGTCATAGAAAAAAAAAACCCTCCCTTAGTCTCTTCCCTTGTAACCTCACTTTGCTGGGTATTACGACCCCAACAAAACAGTCAGGTAATGTTAGGTCAAAGAAATTGACCATGACGCCTCCCTTTAATGGAAGCAAAGGCCTTGTCAGTCTCCAGATTTTTTGTTTGCGAGGAATAAGTATGGAATTGACAAGTGACAGAATGAATTAAGGCCAAGGCCAAACGCCGAACTTTTCATGAGACGAACCAAACTTCATGAGTTAAGTTCATGAAAAGTTCCACGTCTGGCTAAGTTCGTCTGGTTAAGTTCGTCTGAATGAGTTTGGATAGTCAAAAACGTCTGAAGATCGTTTTCGGGATAAACGTCGATCTCCACATGCAACGAACTAAACTAATAAATTAAAAATCTATACGATAATGTATAATTAGCCTCGTTAGGGAAAAAATTTATTAAAATTGCTTTTTGATCTGATTCAGTTGATTAGTTCGACGCGTCCTAAGTTCGACGTCTGACCCAACAAACGATCTTAACTTAATTTAAGTCGACGCAAATTAGAGTTTGATCCGTCTCATGAGAAGTTTTACGTTTGGCCTAAGCCTCAAAAAAAAGTTGTCTTCCTTCCGTTTATTTCCAGAAGGTTATAGGGTTGACTATGATTGGTATCGCTTTTCTTGCAAATTTGAGCAAACGGGAAGAATACCAAACTAAGGATGAGCAACACGCTGGCGATCGGGACGAAACAAGACTGTTGACAGTCCTCTTACTTTACCGTAAGATCTTCGGGGTCGAGCAGCTACAATTACGGCTGGCCAATTTGGTTTCAAATGTACCGAGTCGAGCCCGGCCGGGATGAGTATCAAATCTACTTAGGGGGAGGGTATGGTTTGGGAGGGGGGTGGTTTGGGAGGACATTTTTCTCACCTCCCTTCCCCCATCGCTATAAACTTTAGGGCCCGCCCTGTCGGTACATTTGAAACCACGATTGCCCCCCGTGGTAAGCGCTCGATGTTGACGACTTTAGAGAAAAATAGTGTCAATCATTATAACTGACCACAGATGGCATTTTCTATAATTCTTTCAATTTCCTCCTAGCGATCTCCGGGGGGTTACTCGGGTTAATTTTTGGGGGGTATGTGCTGCTGGCCTCTTAGAACCCCTACCCCATTATAGTCTATTCTGTGGCCAAATACAGACCCCATCTTAGTCACTTTGGGGAAAACGTCATTTTCCCGATCAAAACTTAGTAACTTTTTTTTATGGATCTAACTTATAAAGCCCTTCAACTTGGTCATCCTGAAATAAACATCTCCCAATCTTTAAATCCGTACCTACCTGAATTTTCTGATCCCCCACTCACAAAAAATGTGAGATCCCATTCTACTAACGCTATTGAAAATGCAACCCCATTATAGTCAATCCATCCGCGAAAATGCGACCCCATCCAGCGGCACAACTCCATTAACCTGTTACTAGGAAGTACCCCCCCCCCCCAACCCTGGGGTAACGATCACACAGAAATATAGTCAGTGATGGCTTGTAAGAACCAAACGAGCGATTAGGCTTACCCTTAAGTTCCAAAGTTTATTACTTTCTGGAGAATCGAAACGACTGCCTCCGTTGTCACCGAAGGAGAGATCACTCGACTGTAAACAAGAAGTAAAGTTCCTATTACAGCTATGTCTGCACTGTACCGAATAGTACAAAAACATTATCGGTTAGGGCTTCTGATCACAGATAAAAACGGTGATATAAAAAGGGTGATTTCGGGGAGGTTTCTGGGACGGAGCGAAGCTGCACGGCACTGCGTCGATATAAGTTTCTGAACCCTTTTCTTGCCATTTGAACACGTCTATTGTATATCAACTACATATCGCTGTTCGTCACAATAAAATTATGCATGTATCAATTTTAAAGGTATTTTTTTTTTACATACAGGTCCATCCACGTCCGGTTACACTTCACAACACCACTTGAATTTTACGCTGTTGACTGAATTACAACATTTTTAGAACAACAGTATAGCCAAACACTAACAAACACCTTTTTTGTTTTCTTTTTGTAGTTGGTCAAGATCCCGTAAGCGGCTATTTGACCCTTAGCACATCTCAATCTCTAGTTGCTCCTATAACAGGAGGGTGTCCGCTTACGACAGCTAACACTGTACTAACAGACTTGAAACAAACAAAAAATTGCCACGACTGTAACTATAGTATGCTTGATGAATAAAGAAACAGAGACGAAGATTAAAAAAATACATATAAATTACCGCAGCTGCCAAATTTGGAGTGCTGGCAAACTTTCTAAGCGGTTTTCCGATAGCGGCAAGTTTCTCCTTCACCATAACTTCCTGTAAAAGACAAAGAAAATCTGATTGTCACTGTCATTTTCCCAACAAGGATGCCTCTCTTACTTAACAACCGCAAAAACCTAAAGTGTTACTGAGAAGTACATGTACTTTCCTGTGGTACTGTTTATTACGCTGTACAAAGTGGTTCTAACTTTGAGTCTGTGGATGAAATCCAGTAGAGTGTCCATTCAAATGCAAGCGACTGAGAAGTACTTTTTATACGCGGGTGTTTACTTTACAGCCAATCAAATAAAACTTAGAAGGCAGTATT